ACAGCATGTGACCATCTTCTACTTGGCATGTTTTCAAGGTCCATCCATGTGGCAGTGGGTATAACAACCTCATTTCTCTTTAAAGCTGAATAATAGTTCATTGTCTGTGTATACCACAACATGTTTATGCATTCATTCATTGATGGACATTTAGGCTGTTTCTACCATCTAGCTATTGTGAATAGTGCTGCTATGAGCATATGTGTACATGTATTTGAGTGCCCATCTTCAGTTCTTTGGCTGTATACCCAGACATTTGTCTTTTTATTGTTGACTTCTAATAGTCTTTTGTTTTGTGTTAATTCTGGATGCTAGTCCTTTATCAGATACATGATTTGCAAATATTTTTTACTTATCCCTTGATAGTGTTCCTTGAAACCCAAAGATTTTGATTTTGATGAAGTCCAATTTATCTATTTTTTTCTTTGGCTGCATACACTCTTGGTGTCATATCTAAGAAACTATTGCCTAACCAAAGGCTAGGAGCCCTGTTGGTGCAACAGTTAAGCCCTCAGCTGCTAACTGAAAGGCTGACAGTTCAAACCCATCCCATGACTCCATGATCTGCTTCTGTAAAAGATTACAGTCAAGAAAACCCTACGAGGGCATTCTACTCTGTCACAGGGGGTTGCTGTGAGTTGAAATCAACTCCATGGTGCCCAACAACAACAACAACAAAGATCGTGAAGAGTTATTCCTACGTTTTTTCCTAAGAGTCTTGTTGGGCCCTTGGATTTAGGTCTTTGATCCATGGAGTTAGTGTTTGTGTAGGGTGTGATATAGGGTGTGATGTAGGAGGCCATCTCTGTTCTTGCACATGTGTTCATCACAATTTAAATGAAGACACTTCCACAGAGCCATTTGTAGTTTTTGTAGACTGGCAATAAACTAGGAAGAGAAGGGATAATTTTCTAACCAGGCCTAAATATTCCTTTAATAATTTTTAAGCTGTCATTTTAATATAGCTAAAAGTCAGTCTCTTGATAGTTAAGTAGAAAGAGATTTGATCTGCTGTGTTCTGTAACTAATAAGAGAAAGTGGTTTCATGTTGTACCATGACCTATTACCACAATAACAACGCATAATAAACATCCAAAATTCGGTGATGTGCAGTAAAAATGATTTCCTCACGCGCCTGAGGGTTGAGCAGATCTCTGCTGGTTCTGCTGGGTTTGGCATGACTCGTTCATGCCTCGGTTGCTCGGCGGGCTCATGCTCTGCTCCCTGTGTCTCTCCTTCTTCTCCGGGGTCTAGTAGGCTAGCCTGGCCATGTCCTTTGCATGGTGCCAGCGAAGTGCAAGAGTGTGCCAGTCTAACCCAGCAAGAGTCTTTCAGCCTTCTGACTGTGTCACGCTCACTGACATCCCACAAACTAGAACATACGAAGGGCACCATGGTCTGCTACAAGGACTAACAAATTTGTCCGGGAAAAAGTGCAGCTGGAAGTGAGAATGGCCAAACTTCATCTCACCTACTTTGGTCATGTGGTCAGAAGGAACCATTCCTTCTAATATCCAAGGATATCATGCTTGGTAAATTGGAGGGTCAACAAAAAAGGGGAAGAGCCTCAACAAGATGGATTGATACAGATCATGAGGCTGGCACAGGCCTGGGCAGTGTTTCGTTCTGCTGTGCACAGGGTCACTGTGAGTCAGAGATGACATGATGGCACCTAACAACAACCACAACAACCAGAGCAAACCTCCACTCTGCACTGACGCTTGTGTCATCTTTATAAAGACTGAGAAAAGAAACCTGGAAACCCACAAGTTGGGGACCTAGAGCCCACCAGTCTAGCTCATGCCTCAGACTAGACACTGGCCTTCCTATTAAGAAAAAGGTTTGCCCATCTAAACTGTCACTTAGACCCTCTAGAGAAGTCTACCAGCATATCACATTGCTCTGGGTGCAAGGATGGGCCAAGAGAAACTTGGAAGACACTTGGGGAAAGACACTTGTGTGTTTTATGGAGCAGCTGTGTGCTAATTACTTTTCTAGGATCTGAAGACAAACTTTAGCTGGTACTCTCAGCTCCATCTCAAAACTGTCCCAGGCCTGGGCACTTTTTCTTTTGGAGGTTCCATCCCACATCATGTCAAGTGCACCTACATCCCACTTGAAGTATAATTTTGTGGTAAATTTGAAATTATTTTTTCTCCTTCTGGTATTCAAAACTTTTGGCTTACAAGTAGCTTCTCAGTTTACAGTTCTGTAATTTCTCAACAATAATAATGAAAATGAATTCTTGCAAAGTGAAAGTACCTCATCTACCAATGCCCAAGCACAAAAATGCATTGACTACTGTGGTGACATCATGTTCCCTTTCACATGCATATAAATAAAAAAAAATTCTTAATTAAGAGTTTTTAGTTTTGGTTTGGGCTGGCAGTTTAAACCCACCAGCCACTCCTCGGAAGGAAGGTTGAACGATCTACTTCCATAGTGATACTGCCTGAGAAACCCAAGGAGGGGCTGCTATGAGTCAGATCTGATTCGAGTTTGGTTTAGTTTGGTTTCTTTTTTATGACCAAGAGCCAGCAGATTTTCTAGGCTTCAAACACCTCTGAAGGTCCTTGAAGAAAATTCACACCATAAGCCTGACAACTGGGCCCTCATGCCCAGTGCATAAAATGGCTCTGCTTAGTCTCTGTTTACGAGTAAAAACACTTGCACAATAAAGATTAGGATTAATTTATACAAGTGAAAAGTAAAGAAATTTAATTTGGCAAGTAGTTTTTAAATAACGATTTTTTCTTTGTCTGAAGAAAAGGAATTCAATGAGCTACTTTCCCTGAGAGTCAGTGGTAAATAAAATACCTAAGAAGGACACACAGATTTTCTACACACATCATTCACACGTCTGTGCTGAGATTGACTGTTGTCCTTGTGTTTCAAGTTGGGTCTCCTCTGATGAGGACATTTTCTTGCAGGACATTTATTGGGGAGTGCTCTTAAGATCAACATGTATGGGGACTTGAAGGCAACAGGACAGGGCAGAGGGAGAACTTGAATCCATGGGGACCCCTGGAGTGGGGATGACCCTTTAGTGATATCCCCATTTGAGGCAAGGAGGGCCAGGCCTTTATATTGACATTGACAAAGTCTTGGATGCAGGCTGCCTCTGAGAAGGGTACATGACCTTGGGTGAGGTAGGTCTCTTCAGCCAAGGGCAAGGCCTGAAGAGAGACTCAGATGGATGTTGTCAGCCACCAACACTTCCAGCAGCTGGGGTAGAGGGTTTCAGCCCGGTAAGGTGGGTGTGGGGATCTTGGCCACACACCGCAGCATCCACTACACACTCTCCACCAACACTTTCCAGAGTTGAACATGCATATGTATGGCCCTGGATCTTCAGAAGCAAGTTCTGATTCAGTGGGTCTGGGTGGGACCCAAGATTCAGCATGTCTACTGGACTCCCAGGAGATGCTGCTACTGCTGGTTATGGACCACAATTTGAGTATCATGACCCTAAATTCAACTTGCCCCTCATTTAGCATGACTTTGCATTGAAATACTCAAGTAAGAGCTTTCAGAGTGTGTGGGTCATGAGACATATCCTACCATCACTGGGTGAAGCATTTCTGAGCCACCAGGTTCCTCACAGCCATCTTAACATCCTTGTTCCTCAGACTATAGATGATGGGGTTGAGCAGGGGAGTCAGAAGTCCATAGAAGAGGGAAATTAGTTTGTCTGAAAGGTCCTGCTTGTCTGCTCCCAGGGGGTCCTTTGATTTAGGCTTCCCATACATGAACAGGATGGTCCCATAGAAGATGATCACCACGGCGAGGTGGGCAGAGCAGGTGGAGAAGGCCTTGCGCCTCCCCTCACCTGAGGGTATCTTTAGGATGGTGGTAATTATAAAGATGTAGGAGACAAAGATGAAAAGAACTGGGACTCCCAGGAAGATCACATTGGCCACCCCCATGCTGACCACATTAATGGAAATGTCAGCACAGGCCAACTTTAGAACTGCCAGAATCTCACAGATAAAATGGTTGATGACATTGTCCCCACAGAAGGGCAATTGTACTGCAAGAGAAATCTGCACCAAGGAGTTGGTTCCACCAGCCAACCAGGAGCCAGCAGCCATGGGCACATAGGCAGCCTTGCTCATGACCACAGGGTACCTAAGGGGGTTGCAGATGGCCACGTAGCGATCAAACGCCATCATGCCCAGAAGCACACACTCTGTGGCTCCCATGGCGAAGGAGAGAAACATCTGCACAGCACAACCTGAGAAAGAGATGGTTTTCCTGGGAGTCAGGAAACCATCCAGGACCAGGGGGACTGAGGAGGTTGTGTAGCAGATGTCCAGGATGGAGAGGTTCCCCAGGAAGAAGTACATAGGCGTGTGCAGGTGGGAGTCAGATACAGTCACCAGGATGAGGACCCCGTTGCCCAGTAAGATCACCAGGTACATCAACAGGATGAGCACAAAGAAGGTTTTCTCCAGCTTTGGGTGGGCTGAGAGTCCCAGCAAGACAAACTCTGTCACGGCAGACTGGTTGGGAGCTTCCATTTCAAATTCTCTCTCTTTCATCCCTGGGAATACTGAAGGCAGAAAATACACGCTTGCTTTTTGATATTGTGCATGGGTCAATATATGAGGAACACGTGTGGTGTCCCTAGAATTGTAAATAAATATATTCTCTGGGATTCAACTAGTAAAAGCAAGTTATCTAAAAGCCAACTTGTAGATCATTCACCAGCATCAAGGGCAGACCCTGGAAAGCTGATGAAACTTAATACAATGAAATGCATTACTGTCTAATCAGTGATACTGATATACCTAAATCACAGTCATGTCTGCATATGTGGTGTGTCTCTAGCACTTTTGAAGAAAGCAGGGGCATCCGAATAACTCTGTGCCATGTGATTGAGGCTCTCACTCCATCACAGCTGAGGTCATTAAGGTCATGTGGTCCAATCTTCTGGATCTGGAACCTGCTCACTAGCAAATTTCTATTATAATTTGACCCTTTATGCAGATAGTCCTATAAGGACAGAATGTGCTGGCCTGAGAACAGTTTCTGATCTCCTTAAGGTCTTATTTCTTACTTGATGTCTAGTTTACACTTCAGTCTTTTATGAGTTTAGTTAGTCTGAATCAGTTTACCTGATCCTAACCCTTTTAACTGCATGAAAAAAATATCTAACCAAATTGAATATCTGGAGCACATTACATCAAGTCCCCACTAAAGTCTCTAGAAATCTGATCTGAAGAGGAGAACTCGTGTGTTTCCTCTTGTAACCACACCTGACCTGTCTGCATCTCTGTTGTCTTAAGACTTGGTCTGAGGAATAAAATCTTACCTGATCGTTAGAGCCCATAATTCACATCCCTAGCCTGGATTGGTGGGGCAATTTACTTCCGTAGTGATCCTGCCTCGGAAACCCAAGAAGGGGTCACTATGAGTCGGGTCCGACTCGATGGCACATAACAACAACAACAGCCTGGACTGGGTGGAGCTTTGAGTCACACCCATATCACCTTCCATAAGAGATGCCATCCAAGGCCATTTGGATGCTCTGAAGATGTGATCGTGTGTAAATCTACTCACCCTCTCAGACTGTGCAGAACTGTACGGTCCATCATCACCATTTTACTGCCCCTGAGAGCTGGAATACCAGGCGTCATCAGAGCCTGGCGGACGGTGCCCTAAGGGAATGGAACTGGCTGCCTTGAGCCATCTAAGTGCTCGTTAAAAACACAGTCTGGGTCCTGCCTTTGCAGATTGTCTTGAAAATCTGTTTGTTTGTTTTTAAATAACGTCTGATGGACACTAGACTTGGGACTCACTGACGTATCTCAAACATCTCCATTGAAAGTGGAGAAACTGAGGTCAGGAGAGAGGTTTGTCACTTGTACATGGCCCTGAGGAAGGGATGTTTTTCTTACTCGGCCTGCCCACAGGGAAGCCTTTTGCAACCCACCCACCATGAGGGGCTGATTTTCTAATGGCGTAGTAGCGTGCTCCGTGCCAGCAGCACTGGACAGGAGGACATCTGTCCAGAGTCTCATGGCCCATCGGGGCAGAGCCAGGTTTTGAGCTGAGTCCTCCTGGCTCCCAGGTTGGGCTCTTCCTACCTCGCACATTCTAAACAGGCTCTCTGACTAAATCTACAATTGAGGGGGACATTTCTGCTGAGGTCTATTGAACCTTGGTGAGCAGAGATGTCCTGTGAGGCAGGTAGGCAGCAAGACTGACTACCTGCAGACAGTTCCTATATCCATTCTACTGAAGGCTTCAGAAGAGGGGAGCTGGGGGCAACTGAGAGCTATAAACAGAGAATTGCCAAAGAGATTTTCTCAGTTTCACAGCACTCAAGGGACAGAGAATTATTTTCAGAGAAAAGCTCTTTTAGTCTGAGTGAGTGTAGCATCTGAGGTTTGGCAGGATCTTTGGGTATTAAACCAATCCAGTTCCTCACCACCAATCCACCAGTTGCAGGTATTTTCTCTCCAATAAGTGATTTCTCAGCCTCCGTGTGATCATTTGGGCTCCCCAATGTCATTGACAGGAAGCTGGGGTTGTTAGAATTCTTCAACTTTTGAAATCTATCTTTTCCTAACCTTTTCCTACCTTCATTGTCCTAACCTCTGTGTTGTGAACTCACACAAAACACGTCTGCTCCCTTGGCATGGTCGCAGTCTTCCGAACTTTAGAAATAGTTCCCTTTCCCCTACCTCATTTTACCCCTGCCTGCACAGCCTCTTCTCCTCCCTCCCAACGGGGACGGTCTGGCCAGAGAGGTCACACAGCACTTACCTAGTGTGGAGTCCAGCCCAGGCTGGGTCTGTTGCTTGCAGACAGGAAGGCAGGCCTGTGAAGTGAGGAGGCTGCCAGTTCACTGAGGTCAAGAGAAGTGGTTACCTGCGGGGCTACATGTTCATCTGGGTGTCCCCTAGCCGTAAACAAGCAGGTCATGCAGGTCATATTTCTCAGAGCTGCCCCAGCAGCACTTGCCACAAACTATTTAACTCTTGTCAAACTTCCTGGTGTCTTTCAATGACAGTGGGCACGGAGGGCTCCAGAGCATGGCCATAGCTTGAGGGCTACAGCTACTCCTAGGGCCCTGGTCCAATCTTGGGGCTCAGCGGGACAAGGAGACAAAGATGGGCTCTCAAGGCCAAGGCTCAGCCAGGAGCCCCGGCCAGGAAGAGCTAGGGTGGGCTAGGAGGCCATGCCCAGGCACTGGGCTCCACATCCTGTCTTCCCTGTGCTCCACGTTGTTCTCCAGAGGGTCTCATCAAGACTCTCTCAGGAATTTAAGGGCCAGGTTGCCTTGGGGCCACATTCTATCCCAGAGCAATTAAAGTTCGGTGAGAGACTCAGAATTTAGTCTTCACCCATAGGCCCAATTAGACAACGTTGTGGAAGTCTAACAAACTCCTTCTTCCTACATGGAAATCTCAACTCAGAAAGTTTTCTGGCTTGTACTAATCAGAGTTCTCCTGGGCTTTGATCACAATACTTGGTCCAAGATGGCTCTGTCACTGGCCCTCAAAGAGCCAAGAATGGAGGAAGAGCAGGGCCTCAGGGGCCCAGACGGTCATTGAAGTTTGGGGTCAGATAGCTATCCTGACCACTAAGGCACTCCTGCCCCTTCACACAGTGACTCAGCTCTCTATGCTCCTAGTATGTCCTAAGTGTCAGACACCAAGGAATGGAGCTGGCACTGGGAACATAATGACTGGAAATGGGTCTTTGCCTTCAGAGAGCCAGCAGCTCTACATCTAATTTTAAAAAACAAAGATAAACCCAGTGCCATTGGTCCATTCCAACTCATAGTGACCTCCGTCAGGTTTCCAAGGCTGTAAATCTTTGCAGAAGTAGATTGCCTCATCGTCCTCTCATGAGCACCTGGTGGGTTTGAACCACCTACCTTTTAGTTAGCTGCCTAATGCCTTAACCTCAGTATCACCAGAGATCCTTTATCTAATAAAATAAAATTAAAAAAAAAAAACCTCACTGCCATTGAATTGTTTCTGACTCATAGCGACCCCTCCTTGAGTTTCTGAGGTGGTAACACTACGGAAGTAGGTTGCTCGATCTTCCTTCCTGAGAGTGGCTGGTGGGTTTGAACTGGCAGCCTTCTGGTTAGCAGTCAAATGCCTTAGGCACTATGCCACAAGAGCATCTTTCTCTAATAATAGTAGAGTTTAATACCTATAGACTAAGGCATGACTGAGAGTGCCACAAAGCTGTCCAGGAGGCTGAGCACACCCAGGAGGACCCTGAAGTGTGCAGAATGAGCCTGGGGTCGAAATAATGAGAGAGGAGAGAGAGTGGCCCCGGGAGACACGACAGCACGTAGAGATAAGTCCGTGATAAGAGATGCAGGATAGAGAAGAGTCAACGATGTCTTTCTTCCTTAAGGACCAAAAGAAAGACATGGAGGAAGTAAGGAGTGCTGGGTGGGCATTGGGAGGATGAGGCTGCAAGGCTGTTCCTGGCATTTTACTACACAGCTTCTGAGCATCTACTGTGCCTAGCTGGTTACTGGACATAAAGAAACAGTTTTTGTTCTCTTAATAGATTAAGAAATCATTTTTGTGATTGAGGAGTGCATGGGTGATTGGATTTGTTGTAGTTGAGGTAACGGTGAAATGTTAATGCCAATAAGAGTTGCCATTTATTCACAACTGTTTTCCAAATCCTGTCATGTCTACTGCTCCCATCAACCCCATGAGGTAGGTATGCAGATGCTTGATGTGACCAGGTGGAGGGGCCCTCCTTCACTGGGCTACAGTGCCCTGCATCCATGATGTCTAGAATCTTTGGCCTTTGACCTCTAAATGCCTGGGCCTCCCCATCTATCATGCTCAGATTTCCTCCAGGGTTAGGAGATGTATGGTTCATGGAGGAACCGTGACACAGTCAGGCTTCTTGGCTGAAGAGACAGGGGAAAGTCAATTAAGACCCTGTTGCCCCTGTGTGGCAGGGTGCTATGTCCCCCAACTGTAGACTGTGTGTGTGCATGTGTGTGCATTAACGGTTCCATTTCTCAAAAGAACCTAACAGCCCACTTTTTCAGAGAATTCTTACACAGAGCAAATGGGTCCCTAGTGGCCCAAAAGGTCAGGGAAGTCCCGTAGATACATACTATCTGCGTTCAGGTCTCCAACCATCTCCCATTGCGTCACAGCTAGTGTTGTAGCCATAGATATCAGAGCAATGCAGCTTCTCCACGGTTCCAGCCTCTTTCCTGGAACAACGTGTAAATTGAAGAGTCATGGCTCTTTCTCTCCAGCTCAGACATCTCCCCCCATACTTGGATATTCCACAGCAGCCTCACACATGTCCCAAACAGAATATCTTCTCCCCTGAAACCAGTTCCTTTGTCAATATTCTCTACCTTGGTAGGGCCACCACCACCCAGCCGTCATCTAAGCTAGAAATATTGACGCCACCCTCTCCTGCCTGCTACAGCCAACCAAACTCTAATCGTGGAGCTTTTTATCTACCAAACATTTATTGAACCTCCCTGTCTTCACCATGCCTCTATCATTGACTC